TAATGTGCTCCTTTGGCAGCGGTGCCTTGCTTTCTTCCAGTGGTTCCAAGAATGACTTCGTGCAAACCAGCCTTATTCCAACAAACTGAATACCTGTGAATCAAAGCATTAAGGAATCAGTAGTAACCAAACAATACACGGTCACTTTATATGTAGAACTGTCAGAATTAAATAACAAGTACCCGCATGTTAAAGTGGTCAAAGCAGTCTTGGAATGCTGAAATTCCTTTGGTGGCATTGGAGCTGCCCATATTAGTGGCTGCCAGTAGCATTAGTATATGCATTTATAATAACCATCTCTAATGCAATATCACAGAGTACACACTTCACAGACCTGGTTCACTTGAAAGGGACTCATTAGCTCATTTGACAACGGTAGAATGCGATCATGCAGAGCTTGTTTCAAGCGATCAGCCACAAGAACCATTTCAGAGCCGTGAGGCGATTGTCCAACAGTAATGGAAGAAAGGTAAACAGGTTGCAGAAAGAATGAAAGCAGAGCTCCTGAAATAAGAATATGTATGACCTCATCAACTAACTTATAACTAGTAATGCCACGTAACCAAGTACGGCCAATATAATCATGAAGATTAGTCAAACTGGCTCAGTCTAGGTACACCATCAAACATTCAAGGATGCCCGACCAAAAGAAGCCAGGTATGTATTTAGACCAGAGTTTCCATATCCAAGATTGGCTGAATGAAGCCCTATCTTGGATACATGATAGATCAAATGACAAACCTTGAACTCCAACTACATTCCAACGAGCCATCTTGTCAGAGCAACTAACTGATAAAGTCGTATCACCACGACCAGGCTTTCTTTGAACCGAGCCAATTAGTTGTGAAGCATCACCTGAAAATAAGGTCACATACAGATGCTACATGACTCAAATCTCATGTCAAGAGTAATGATTCATTTCTCAAAAAAAAGCTGCCAACATTCACTAGAAAAATATTCAACCCATCACATTAAGGTGAAAAACGGAAACATAAATTTTTAGCAAATATAGAACAAGGAAGAGGACAAGTACAAAATCCCATTACCATTAGTATTTGGCAGAGCCTCTTCATTTATTGAAACATTAAGCTCGTCCAAAGATGAACCCCGTTCTGTTGGTGACATGTTTTTAGGGGGGGACAACAGTGAACTTGGAGATGCAACCCCACCTGCAAGAAAGGAGAATAAGTATAATCGCAGTATTGGTTTGTCCTGATATAGATATAAAGATCTAAGGAGGGCAAAAACCAAAGAAAAAAGGACTCTCTTTTCTTGGATATGAACAAGAACTGACATGGTAGTTGTGATATGTACAAGTGTAATTGCAAACCCTTCCTCAGTTTGTATTCTCCTTGGCCATCACCATTAGGGTCCAATTCAAAAAGCAAGTTTTTGGCATCACCATTTTGCATTTGTGTGCTTCCATTGCTATCACTTTGCTTACTATAAACTTGAGTAAGACACTGAATCTGTGCATAGAAGAACCTAGTGCCAGAGAAGCCAAGTATACCAATAAGCACCATACACTAAAAATATAAGGTAGAGATATAGGTAACAAATGCAAATCCCCCCCAAAAAAAATTGGTACTTTTCAACTAAGCACACATAATTTGGACAACTAAACAAATTAAATTTGCTAATGAAATGAATATATAGCAACAACTTTTTATTTATTAAAATCTTGTATTAGCAACTAAACAAATTAAATTTGCTAATGAAATGAATATATAACAACAAATAAAAACCTCAGTAAAGATCTTCAAGCTATAATCTCGGCGTGGGAATCATTGACGACATCACTGTTGGAGCTCAAGAGTGAACGCCCAAGACATTTGGTCCCAGTTCCCAACGCGACAACTTCCAATTCTGAACAATTGAAAGTGTTAAGAACACTGTTTTCTTTCCAGGAAAGTGCAGGAAAATCAAATTTATAAAATAAAAAACGAAGGAAAGTAGGACCAAGACGGTGACTTCGAATATTCTCGTACAGCATTATTATTTTCAGATTTTATTCGTATATTGGCGTATGTCAGATTTTATTGTGTTATTTTTTAGGGACATTTTGGAAATTCCGAGACCTTCTCGCCCCACTCTAGTTTTGAAGAAGAAGAAAGAGCAGACGACGGCGTTTCGAAGCAAGACAGCGACGCCATGCTACAGAAAGTGGTGGTAGGGGTGAGTGAGAGGAGACGCTCCCGCCTCCGATTTCGGGTCATTCGGACCACTAGGTGGTTGGATTTGGGTTGGGTGGACTTCCAAATCATTTTTTGGGTCTAGAATTGGGCCAATCTTGTGCACCCAAGAAGAAAAGAAAGGAGCCCAATTTCACCATTTTCCATAACATGACTGACCCAAGCATAAAGATACCAACTACAAAATGATTTGAAGGACGATTTGAACTTAAGACCTATTTTAATATTAAGGGATCATCTGGTAACGTTTTTGGAGAATATTTTCATAGAGTGAAAACAAGAAAATAAATTTATATTTTCAGGAAATGAAATGCGTCTGATAGATTAATTAGAAAATAAAAACAATGAAAATGTGTATGGTAGTACAATTGTTTTTCAGGTGTATTTTTGATAATTTCAATTCTATTTTTTTTAAAAAAATATTTTTAGAGGCTAAAATTATTATAAACAATAAAAAAAATTACAGCTCAAAAACTATCTTATCTCCTTTCTTTTTTTCTTCTTTTTCTCCTTCTCTCTCTTTAATTTCCTCCTCTTTTCTTCTTCTTTTCCTTCGCATGGCTTTTTCTTTTCTCACTTTTTCTTCCTCTTTTTTCCTTCTTTCTTCCTCAATTCTTCCTTCTTTCTTCCTCAATTCTTCTTCCCTTCCTTCCCAAGGCCGTTTCTTTTTTTCTCATTTTCTTCCTCTTTTCTTCTTCCTTTCTTTCCCAGGCCGCACCCACTCCTCCTTCCTTCCATGGCATGAATCCCATACACCCACCCATCTCTCTCTCTCTCTCTCCACTAATTAATGGTTGTGGTGGTTTGATTGGGTGATGATGTTGGTTGAGTTGGGCATGTGGTGGTTCTTCTTCTTGTCTCTGTTTTTCTTTTCTTTTCTTCTTCCTCTGTATTTTTTTTTTCTTAGTTTGCAGATTTGTGTTATTTTGCGTCGGAGAAGATGGGTGTTGTTCCTGTTGGTGGGTTTATTGGTTGTCAAAAGCAGAGAAGAATTTTGGTTTTTGGTCTGACAGGGAGAGAAGATTGGGTGAGAGATTGAGCAAAAGCAGTGTGTTTTGAGCGTTTGTTTTTTGGGAGAACAAAAACATTTTTTTTTTCTGTTTGGTAGAAGTAAACGTGAAGTTGGTCTCATTTTATGAAAACATTTTCAATGTTTTCTGTTTTTGCCCACCGAACATGCTTTTGCTTTGTTTTTGTTTTTTGAAAATGAAAATGGGCCTCTAAAACGTAAACGAACGGGCCCAAGAAATTATCACTACATTAAGAGAGTTGGTATTGAATATAGGCTCACTTGTAAGTGCTTATGTGAGAAGCACTTTTACTTGTTAAGGGTTTTTTAGTTAGCTAAAAGCGCTTCCAATTCTTGTGAACTAAAATGTCATTTATCGTCCTACTTGAGCACTTCTCGATCCCCTCTTTAGTATGAATAATGCTATTTAAAAAGCAATAATGCTATTTAAAGATCAATAATGCTATTTGTGCCACTTTTGCTGACTTATATGGGACCCACATGTATGAGAGGTGGTCAACTAAGTAACCAGTAAAGATGGTACAAAAGCTACACCCTTATGTAGGATCTCTTAGTCCAGATTCATAGCGGTTTTGTTCATATTTGTAAGGTTGGCAATCCTCTTGCAACTCAAAATTGTCTTATGAAGTAGGCAAGTAGTAATAAGTGCTCATCTACCAAAAATCAATAATGGTTGGAAAGTGGAGAGTACTATTTGCTTGTGCTTTTAACCCCCAATGGTGTTTCATTATCATATAAGATCTTGATTCTAGATTATGGATTGATTTGTACTGGTAAAGGCTGATTAAATTTTAAATTAATAGAAAGTGAATTATGAGGTGTAAAGTCTCTCCTACCTTGGGAATAAAGGCAACATGAAATGAAAGTCCCCCACATTATTATTGTTGATATCTATTAAATTAAAATTAATTTAACATTTTCTTTTCTTTTATGATTTATTGATATTTTTTAATTGATGTGACTATCCACTTCATCTACCACATAAGGTGCTATGAGAATGTGGTATACAAATGTGGTAATAGTAGCATTATTCATTAAAAAAGAAGAAGAAGAAGAAATGATATTTAGTTATATACCCATTTTTAGCACTAGTGACATAAATAAACTCTACACTATTTAATTTCTATAAATAAACCCCAAAAAATGGCAGCTGGCCCTATTGAATTTAATTTTGATTATTAAATTACTTTGATGCCTGAGTGTTTTGGGTTTTTTTAATGAGGTTTTGGGTTAAGATTGTTTTAAGAAATTAATGGCAATTTTGGAATTTATAGGAAGTTCGAAGCCTCTTAATTGTGTTATAAATGGGTTTTTGGTGTGTTTCTAAAGTCCATTTTTTGTATGATTTTTTTTTATAATTTGAGCTCCTATATTGACTATAATAGTGAAATTCTCCCCCAAAAAGGAAGAAAATGTAATTTATTAAAAATATAGGCAAGCTCCAAGGACAGATTCAAGAGGGAGTTGGATGGGATTCAAGTCGAGTTGCAGGAAACATACCCTAGTGAGATGAGCTTGGATATCATAAAAGGGCGGGCACTCTAAATATTCTAGTATTATTGATCCAACACTTTGTCACATGATCTATCTTTGTCACATGATCTATCTTCAATATTATTTTCAGATCAGTTGTTAGTTGGATTCAATTTTAAAACATTAATTCGTACATTCCTTTGCTATATATTGGTGTCAGATTTTATTGTGTTATTTTTTATCACTTATCTTTGAAAAATTCTTGATGTAAAACTTATTGAAACAAACCATCAGAGTTGATATTTACCAGTAGAGAGCCATTGATTTTGTAGCAAGCTTTGAATGCTTGTGTTCAGATCTCTTCTTTCCAGTCTAGGACATATAAAATTACAAGTCATGGCCTATGGAACCCATGGTAAAAAAAAGCTCCTATTGCTTTTTTTCAATACTTTGCCAATATTCATTTTCCCAAGCTTCCACTTGCCTAGTTGAGTTAGCCTTTCTCTCAAGAAAATCGTGGAGAGCCAGAGGATCATACGGCGGAGGCAGAGTGCATGGGAGCTCATCACTTGGAGACTCCACCATAGACTCTACCATGAACTTCTTACATGTACCAGTTGCAGGGCATGCCATTTTTTCTGAGCACAGTTCCACTGCATTGGGAGGTATAGTTGGTTTGAATTTCAAGAGCTTCGCATATTCATTTAGCACATGAAACATGTAATCATACACATAGTCCATCTTTAGATCTTCTTGTATGAAGTTGTTCGCAGCCTCCCCAATCGCCTTCGCCTGCCATATTCACGAGATACCAAATGTAAATCATTTGAATGTGCAATTGAAATTCACAGTTTAACAACAAAACATGTCACACTGTTCAACAACAACAAAAAAATCAGCATACGGCTAAAGTTCTAACCTTGTCTTTGTGATTATTGCCCCATTCCACAGCAAACTTGAGAGAAGTGCACTTGCTGTTGTCCCTAATAGGCCAAAAGTGCTGCAATGGCTCCATGCCTCGAATGAAGAAATCGTGATAGCGAGACCTTACATACAAGGTCATAGAATCACATGCCATGATGTATTTTTCACTTACAGACCATGCCCGTCCTTCTATATAAATTTTGTACCTGTAAAAACCAAATCTCTATACATAAACAAGGAAAACAAAGGAAATTTTAAATTTGTAAAATGTAATTTCAGAAACAAAAACAAACAAAAAAAATTGCAAAAACTACCTGTGCTTGCACTGGTTTTCTAGGTTTGAATCCTTGTACCCTCGTTTAGATTCTTGCACCCAATTCTGGAAATAGAAGATCAAAACATTGCACAAAAGAATACATAAAAAGATTGTATTTTACACATAATAATAGTTAGAGAAGTTGATGCACCTGAATATATAGGCGTGTGTTCCAGTCATTTTTGTCCGAGACATTGCATTTGAGAAGGTCCATTCTGGTTCGAGCCACATTTGGGTTACCTTTCCAGTAAGCATAGGGCACCCTGTCTTCCCACTTAGTTCTTTTATTGCCTTCTTTTATGCTTGGCAATAGACTTCTCCATGGTTTTATATTGGTCTCAACCCTACCAAAATTAAAATTAGCCCATCTACAAATTTCATTAATAAAATTAATTTCTCCTCTAAAATCTCTTCTTCTTTTTTTTCTTTTTTTTTCTTTGGTCACCCAATTCAAATGTTTGGGCCAAAGTTGGTGGAGATGAAAAGAGTTTTAGGCCACACATCTCATACAAACAATTTATGGGCCAGAGTTTTTAATTCTTTGCTTTTCAAATGGGCTAGAAATTGGGAATTGATAGAACCCAAATTCATATGTAACACATGATTCCTAGGGAGCTTCTACAATGAGGAGTTAAAGTGAGGAGACCGATCCGACCGTCAAAACATTTAAAATATTTAAGTCCCATGATTTCTTTACATTTGTTGATGGTGAGATTTGACCTCCTCAAATAACCTCCTCACTTTAAGCCCTCATTATAGCCTTTCCGTGATTCCTAAAGTAAACAAAGAAACAAAAACACATGCAAACATAACATGTATAAGACTGAAGCAAATATTTACCAGCCCCAAAAAGACCAATCTGGGAACATAATATCCAAGCTCCCCTCGTCCCCGCAGTATCTAAACAACGGCGGCGGGCCAGCATTCGGGCCCCGAAAGTCCTTTGATGGGATGACGGGTAGATCACCACAGTTAAACATGAGTTCCAAGTCAGGCAATCTACCGGGGTACACCCTTAGAAGCTGCAAAATGCCCCATAACGTAAACATATCCCTAGTTTGAAAGGATTGTGTATACTTCTCTATGTAAGCCTTGCCGTCCACGATGAAGAGCCTAAAATGTGCAGTCCTGCGGGCCTTCTCTATCATGTCCCTCATGATTCCCGTCTTTTTCCATGGCCGTAGATCTTCGTGGATCCATCGGAAGTATGATGGGCATGTGAGATTGGATGGACGGCTAGGATTTGTTGGGTCGTGTGTGGTAGGGTAAGTTCTTGGACAAGCTTGTGTCACATTAATTCCTTTGGTACACTGCAGTGAGAATTTAGGTCTCTTGGGTGTGCTTGTGTTTGTGGTTGGTGTGATTGATTTCTTAAAATAAGCGCCTGAAA